GTCATCGGTTGACTTCTTTGTCCTCTTAACAGTGAAAACGGTGTTTTCCTTTCTCCCTCTTTCTTTCTTCCCTCCAGCCTTCCTTCCTTCATTCCTTCCTCTGTGTCAAGTTTTCTATTTTCCTTTGTCCCCATAGGCTGTCATTCTCTTCTGTGTTTTTGTTTAAATGGATTCTTACACTGTATATATTTTTGCTTTGTGTGCATGAATTTTGGTGGATACAAATGGCATGATGTTATCTATCTCATTCCACTTCTTACATTATCACCAAGCATGTGTTTTTAGATCTGTCATGTCTTTATGAATGTAGAAATCTAATGGTTTGCTTTTAATTACTGTAAAATCCAAGGTGGATGCTATTCCATTTTACCTACCCGTTCTCCAGGTACATGTCCTTATGGCCTCACCAAAAAAAATGCTTTAATGTGTACCCACTGAAGATCATCTGTAGATTACTAAGAACATTTCTTGGAGTTGTGGTTCCCAGAAGAAGACTCATTGAGCCATGGTGTAGAGTACAATGAACTGTGGCTCACATTGGTGAACTATTCTCTGGACCACTGCACCAATCTACAGTCCCACCAGTGAGGTGTGAGAGCTTTTACCTTTTATTTTTTTCTGAATATTGCCAGTGTCCATTTTGGAAGAGTTTCTTTTTTAATTGAAACTAGTAGCTTCCTCATTTCAATGACTATATGTGTAGCACTATTTAAAGACATATAATTTTAAAATCTGTATGTATTTTGTTCACCTGAATTGCAAATATTCTTCATAACTTCATAAGATAGCCTTCCAATTGGCATTATCATGAGAAAAGAAATGAGATAAAATTTTGAATAGGCCTTCACCACTCTGTCACCCGGTTCAATTCATATGCCCCATCCCAACATCTTGCTTTTTTCTTTTAAAAGCCTCATTACCCCCAAAGGTTGATTTAAAATTGATACCCTTCCCTGTGCTGCTGAAGTCCTTTTACCCTCCTCTAATCATGGAAATACAATGAACTCTTTACTTTTATGTATTCCTGACTGCATGTGAATGCGTGTGGTATAGGGCGTCTCTGTATGCCTAGCACTCAACACTGTTCATTGAATACAGTTATTTGTGAAGGTTAAGTGATAGCCATTCATATATTTAATATTTCTACTTAATCTAGTTAGAATAAAACCTCTGGTTCTGAAAGTTTCTCAGATTAAAACCATCTTTCTCATTTTCTAAGCTGTGAAATGTTGGCATCTCCATGCAGAACTGACTTAAGGGCTGGATCATTTTCAGAACTGTTTCCTGGCAAAATTCTGACTTCACCTGAAAGTGCTTATAAGCGCACCACAATGCTAAGGTGGGCTGGCCCTCCACCCTTGCAAGAATATGGCCTCGGATCCTATTGTTTCAGTGGAAGGACACCCCCAGACCCTTTCAGAGGAGAGCTATTAGTCTGGCTTTCGAGTATGCCCACATGCAGCAGTATAGAATGTGGCTCCAGGTTTCATTAAGAGACATTAACTTGAAACATATAGACTGTTCTTATCAAAAAGCTTAGTTGAAGAAAGCTATATTTTAAGTTAATTTGAGGGAAATGTTTTTGTTGGTTTTTATATGTTTGCTTTTTATTTTGTTAAATCATTTGCAATTTTAGATAATGGAAGTGTACACACACTCTGCCTTTTTTCTTAATTTTTAAAAAATTTAATTTGCTAGAGGATACATGCACTCTCCAGGGAGAGACAAAGAGAGGAAGAAGGAGAGGGGGGGGAGAGAGAGAGAATAAGAAAGCAGATCAGCAGATAATGTAATGGTTACATCGCTGAATGCGACATGGTCAACATGGTTCGAGTCCTGCACCTGCTGGCTTAAAACTCACACCAAGTGCATGTACATGCATGCCCAAAGTCCCAAGAGGAAAATGAAGGAGAAGGGATTATGGCATGCCCATCTTACCTCGGTTGTGATTTCTCTCTTTCTGTCTCTCTGGCAAACGCGTGCACCCTATAGCAAAAATGTCTCTCTCAAAAAAAAAGAGAGAGAGAGAAAACACCCTCTATAGGTAATAACCATGCCACAATCCCTTCAAAATCTCTTTTCAGGATTTTTGGCATGCATGCACATGAACCTAATGTGTATTTAAAGCTACCAGGTCTGGGATACAAATCATACAGTCGGCCATGTAGGATCCAACCACTTTAACCACCATGCCATTGGCTCACTGTGTGCCTGTTTTCTCACCTGTCACTGAAGGAGGTAACATTATCCAAGTCTGTAGTATTCCTATGATGTGGTGTTTTACGTTAGACTCTGTGGAAAAGAGCAATTATACCCAGTAGCCATGGGGGACACAGATCTTCCTGGCTTTCTCAGGAATTGTCTCCATGATGTAAAGGTCCTCATGGCCATATAGGGTGCATGCGCTCGCCAGACAGACAGAGAGAGACATAGAGACAGAAAGCGAGAAATCACCCCCCAGGGGGGATGGTCACGCCACAATTCCTTCTCCTCCATTCTCCTCTCGGGATCTTGGGCACGCACGCATACACGCCCGGCTTGAGTTTTAAGCCACCAGGTCCGGGAGGACACGAACCGTGGTCAACTACGTGAGAGTGCAGCGACATAGCCGTTATGCTAACTGCTGGTTCCCGAGCCACTAGGACTTTCTTATGACTAGCTCAGTTTGCTTCCTCATCCTCTCTAAGGCTGCCACTATTCTCCTTACTTTTTTATGACTCTCCTATTCTCCAACAATGGCTGCAGAGAGGTGTATGCTTTCTGCAGCCGCACCTGACAACAAATCAGTTAGTCTTGGCCGGCATAAAAGTTTCGTTGCTGATCGCACTGGGAAACAGAATTGTGGAAACCACTGTTTCCTCATCTACACCATGAGCATAATGCTAGCTTGACAGTACCTGTGAAGAACAGATTAATTTCCAGAAAGTCCCTGGCATAGGGCTTAGCACATGGTAGGTGCTGAAAATCAACGCACCGTCATAGGAAATGGAGCCACACAATTTTATATGAAACAGCAGGGGTCTACAATGCCAAAGTAAGAATAACCTCAATCAAATGACTTTACTCTTTAGTTAAAGCCACTGTAAGCAGCCAGCTGCTGCCCCCGTAGGACTCCTGAGGAGAAATCTGTTCCTCCTGTTAGTCTAAATCTGCTTCCTTTGATGAGGTGGGAGGCTACTGCAGAAATTCTGTCTGGGAAACAAAGATCATCTCTCTTGTGAGGTCTGTGGTATCTTTTGGTGTCATTTCCATAGTCCATGTCGAATCTCAGTACTGTGAGAGGCAGATACAACCTCGTATGAATATTCTACATTATTTAAATGCTTATTTTACCACATTTATTTTCTCCTCTATGTATATATGTAAATCAATGGATTACTTTTATTTTAAATTGCTATTTGATGCCAGAGCTGTATTTTGACTTCCTAATATATCCTTTTTGTTTTTGTTCAGGTATGTACTCTATACTTAGAATTTATGTTGAAAGCTTGTGTGTGTAACCAAAATAGTAGCTTGCATTTTACGTAGAGAAAATACTGCAAATATTGTGGATAGCTTCTAAAATAAAATCTTAGCCTCACACATTGTAATTTTAAAAGCTTTTTCTACAATCTTTATGCCCTGGCATTTTAGACAACCTTAAGTTTTTAAAGGGTTACATATATAGTCAATCTAATGTAAATAGTTTCAGTATACCTCTTGATTTTCATTCACAGATATCAGACATGTTCATTTATAAAGAAACTGAATCGGAGTTAGCTTGGAGTTCCACATCTCAGCGAGAAAACTCCGCATTTAACCTTCTGTTCCTATTATGTTAAGGCTAGGATTCATCTCCAAACAAACGTATGATTGAGATGATGTTTTGGAATAACATCCTGTGTTTTGGTGGTGCATCACTCTTCGGTGACATTCTGAGGTTGCATTGTATTAGCACATGATATTTTCCCCAGTTAATTGATATCCCAGGTTTGTCCAGAGGAAAATCTACAGCTCCCCCAAACATGCTTGACAAGTTATTATATTTACTTTACTCAAAGCCCGTGTGTGCAATATCCCTCTTGGAGGTGGTCTATTATTGGAGTCCCATATGCTTTTTGTTTGGGAAGAAAGCAGTCACTGTGTCATACTGTTACATGGAGTATTCTTTTTCAGGGATGTTGTTCCCTTGGGGACCATATCAGGCCAGAGTTCCTTAGTCTAATAAGACCTTTGTAACTCTTATTGTATAAAAGTTCTGGGAGGGAAGCAAGAGTTAAACAGAAAATGTAATTCAAGCAACCATATTAGGCCACATGTGGGAAAACATGACTCTTAGCATTGGATTAAAAAAAAGGTATTTGTTGTAAAAAGCACTGTGATGCCAAAACATTCAGGGTATTTCAGTGTAAATGAAGGCTATTGTGGTGTAGAGAACTCATAACGTTTAACATTTACTTCAGTTTCTGAAAATAAGTGATCTTAAAAAGTACAACACAGAGTTGATTATTCATAAACCTTATATTATAATAGACGTGATTATTAGAAGCCCTATATGCTGATAGTTAATCTAAGATTTTTTTGTGTGAGTTTTCTCAGTAATATAGTAGTATTTAACTCAGATAAAGATAATGACTATGACTTTGTCATATATGCAATTTTTCACTCAGTAATGCAAAGGAAGTATATGTACTTACCAGAATTACCCAAGTTAGGTTTTGTACTTTACCCCGAGATGAAAAATGTGCTGAATCCTATTCTATAAAACCATAGTGCAATTTTATAGATGGATTTGCAAAATGGAGATAAAGCCCTTCCTTCAACTTGTGTAGCATGATGAAGAATGCTTTTATTTGATTTTTTTACTCCATAACTCAGGTATGAAAGTCATAAAAATAAATACTTATACATTTTTCTTAATTATCACAACATAAAAGCTATTTTCTGAAATGTGAACATTTCACAGTAGGATTCATAATATCATGTTACTTTGAGATTCTCCTTTCTTTTTCTTTTCTTAGCAAATGGTTTCACAGCAACGCATTCTAATTCATGAAGATTCCATGAACCTGCTAAGTCTTTATACCTCTCCTTCTTTGCCCAACATTACCTTGGGGCTTCCCGCAGTGCCGTCCCAGCTCAACGTAAGTCATCACCCAGTCTCAGCCTGAACTAGCTGGCCTTTTTATAGGGGTTCCTGTCATCTCTTGTCTACTTAGACTTGGGGAAAACTTCGTAGAGTCGCTTCTCTGTCACTGTTTGCTGTTTGCTGTGTTGTTCAAAGATGTTAAGCTTAATTTCAAATCGTAAAATTATCCTGGTTTACATAATTATATATAAAAATAACTGACATTTGTATAGTGATTTAAAGCTTTAAGAAAAACATGCTCTTTAGATACATTATTTTAGGAACTCTACACAACCTTCCCATGAAACAGATTACAGAAGAAGCAGCTGAGACTGGAGTTTAAAAGCCAGTAAGTAGCAGACCTGGAACAGAACCCAGGCCAGCACGGAGAGCTATAGCTTCTGAAGTACAGAAGCATCTGTTTATATCATTTATTTTCTGAATGACTTTATTTGGGAAATGTGTTACTGACTCTATGGTACTGAAAAATACATATCTGGAAAAAAAACTCCAAGAAGAATATTCAGCTATTCCCAGGAGATTCAAAGTTAGTCAATTAGTTTAAAAGTTCTGACAACGAAAAAGGATTTTTTGGAGGTAATTAACCTACTAATAGAATATAGCCATAGTTACTTCAAACATATTCCCTAAAATAATATAAATTTTTGTTGTAAAATACTTTTGAGACTCACTCAGAATAATTCATCTTTGAAAATATTAGTACATTAAATTATACATATACAGAGGTCATCTGATCCATTAGGTTTAAAAAGACATTTCTTTCAACTTTTACATCAATTTTGTCAGTCCTTAGCCGTATCTTTGACACGAACATATCACAGTCACATGTGTGTTAAGTACATATTTTAAAAATCAAGGGGAACCAGCAGTTAGCGTAACGGCTATGTCGCTGGACTCCCACGTAGTCGACCGCGGTTCGTGTCCCGGACCCGGTGGCTTAAAACTCATGCCGGGCGCGTGTGCGTGCGTGCCCAAGATCCCGAGAGGAGAATGGAGGAGAAGGGATTGTGGCGTGACCATCCCCCCTGGGGGGTGATTTCTCGCTTTCTGTCTCTATGCCTCTCTCTGTCTGTCTGGCGAGCGCACGCGCCCTACAGTGAAAATCTCTCCAAAAAAAAAAAAAAAATCAAATCAACCTAAGGGATTTTTTACTACATCAGTTTTTGTTTTCTATAGGCACATGCACTCACCAGAGATACAGAGAAAGAGAGAAAATGAGAAATTATCACATTTCTCCCCAAGGGGAATGGCCATGCCACAACCCCATTTCCTTTATTCTTCTCTCAGGATTTTGGGCATGCACACACATGCTCCTGGTATGATTTTCAAGCTACCAGGTCTAGGACTCAAAATATGGTCAGCCATGTTGGAGCCCAACGCCTTAACCACCACGTCAGCTGCTGGCCCCCATATTTAATATTTTTAATAGACTGCAATGTTATCTTATGTGCTATTGTTGATATTGTATCAGTGAGGAGAAAGCAAAATTTGGTCTTCTGTTAGTGAGGATGTTATGTCTTTCTATTGAAGAAGAAAGGTTTAAAAATCCTAAATTCAGCTATGAATTTCTACACAAATCAGTTGTAAGTAATTTATTTTAATAAAAAGTAAATAAAAAGGTTAGCACTGAAACTAAAAGTAAATATTCATGGTAATATTTTTAAGTCTTCACTTACTAAAAGTATTTTTATCCATCTCTATTTTTCTTATCTCTCCTAATGATAAGTAAATACTAACCCCAAAACTTCTTATGACACACAAATAGGCATTTTGTTTCTATTACTTTTCGCGTGTTCTAAACTACTTCGAACTAACTCACACATGCGCCACTTTTATTGTGGTTGGGAAACATTTTTTCCCGAAGGACCAAGTACTAAAGCCAGACCATTTAATGTTTCGATGGTAATACAATTTGGTACCATTGGATGAATAAACCAATGTGGTTTGGATTAAAATTTCATTTTTCTTTGCTTCCATTTTGGTGTGGATGAGGCTATCACAATTAATTTTTCAAGCTTCACATTGCTTTGGCAAAGAAATCTTTAATATTCCATTTCCCTCTTGCATAGTGGGATATTTTAAGGAAAGAGGCCAGGATAAGGAATCACTTCTCGATTAAACATTGCATTGACTTACTATGTGACTCAAACAAACCATTTACCTCTTTGTCCTTCAATTTCTCCATCATGGAAAATTGCTTTGCTTTCCTGGTGCACAGCAATTTTGTAAGATGAAACATGAGTTTTGAAAAGAAACATGCCACATAATTTTGAGGTATTAGACTTCTGCTTTTATAATACCAAAATGACCACCATTCATTAAGTTCTTTGAATAGGATAATTTATTATTACTATTGATGATATAATTATTATTGCCTTATTACTGTGTTATTATACATTTCAAGTTCTTAATAACATTTTTATTTGATATCTGATTTCACTCAGAGCATAGTTTATTATAGAAAAATAGCTGGGGTGTCATTTTCAATATTTAGGTATTTTGGGATCTGTTGTATATTAATATAAAATACATGTTTAAATCAAACTCCTAAATATTTTGTACCTCCTTTCATGGACTTATTTTAAGACTCTCACTTTAAAAATTAAATATTGGAGACTTAGAGCTCTGTGAACTTATTTTCTACATTAACATGTAGAAAAATGAATTATTCTTTTGCTTGAAATTCTGAAAGTACACATCATTTTTTTCTCTAGTTTCTTAAATCCCTATTATAGAATCTGTAGTTTAACTATTTGAATACATCTTACTTTTCCAATATACCTTTACTTAAGTAATGTATTTTTAAATATTTCAAAACATCCCATGTATTAAACCTAAAATTAGCATCATTTAATTTGTTTTTATTCTTAATATTTTTTTAAATTTGCAATAGGACATATCGACTCACTGGAGAGAGACTGGGGGAAGTGGTGGGGCTCAGAAACCACACAGACAGCCATACTGCAGTCCCCTCTCCACTATTCTCCTCTTAGGGTTTGGGCACACATATGCACCTGGTATGTTTTCTAAGCCACCAGGTTCAGTACTAGAGCCATGCAGTTTGCTGTGTGGGATCCAGCTGCGCTTAATCAAGTTAATTAATTTACATATTAGCTTTTATTTGTGGTGAGAGGACTTAAAATCTACTCTGAACAGTTTCCAAGAATACAATATATTGTTGTTAATTATATTCTTTATTATGAACAATGGATATTTTGGACATATTAACTGAAATTTTATCTCTAGCATTGAGTTTAATATTAAAAAAACTTTTTTTTGATTCAGTGCATTGATATCAAATACCCAATTGTCTCTGGTGTTCCAACCCTGTTTTTAAAATTTTTCCTTCATTAATCCAGTTTTTTTTTTTTTTCTTTTTAGTTTTCGCTATAGGGTTCATGTGCTCACTAAGAGACACAGAGGTGGAAGGGAGTGAGAAATCACCCTGAGGGGATGGCCCACTGCAATCTCTTCTCTCAGAATTTTTTTGGCATGCATGTACACACACCCAGAGTGATTTTCAGGCTGCTGGGTCAGGTCTAATGCCACATAGTCAGCCATCTAGTTAGGATCCAGCGCCTTAACCTTCATGCCACCTGGTGGATCCACGTTAATTCCACTGGTTTAAAAGATATTTGTTTTCTGTGTTCTTAAGTCAGCCATTGGGTAAGATGTGATTTTTGATTTGGGACATTATGGCATAAGAAACTCACCTGCTGATGTAGGGGCCTAATGACCCACATGGATGAAAGAGGACTAACGTTTATTATTTCTTAACACAGGCTTCAAATTCACTCAAAGAAAAGCAGAAGTGTGAGACCCAGACACTCAGGCCAGGTGTCGCCCTGCCTGGACAGTATGGGGCCAACATCCCCACGTCTTCAAGCCATGCCCACGTTGCTTTGGAGGGAAAACCCAACAGCAGCCACCAAGCCCTCCTGCAGCATTTATTGTTGAAAGAACAAATGCGACAACAAAAGCTTCTTGTGGCTGGTAATTAATAACGGCACTGTTTGTAGGTCATTGTAGGGCTGTGAGTGACCCATTGAAATGTCTCTCTAACCCAAAACCTTAATGAAGATTTACAGTGCCACACGAGGGCCTCCTTGGCACTTGGTACTGTGAGAAAGACCAGTATCCTTACTTACTCTCCTAGATCCTTTGTAGGGGAGTGCAGGACTCATCTCATCTAACCTTCAGACACACCAGACAGACTAGTGCTTAGCTGTATGGAGTAGTATGGTCAGGTGCATACCTGTCCTGTGCTTTGGCAGTTCTGCCTTTAGGCACCCAGCCCAGCCTTCCTCTGACATTCACCTGCTAGTATCACTGTTTTCATGTAACTTATCCCATGCATCTATTTGGGCTTCTTGTCATTTCTTAAAATGATAATGTATTTCTGTCTGCCTGTCTGTTTACACACACACATTTGTATATATATTTTTATAGGTGGAGTTCCCCTACATCCTCAGTCTCCTTTGGCAACAAAAGAAAGAATTTCACCTGGCATTAGAGGTACCCACAAACTGCCCCGTCACAGACCCCTGAATCGAACCCAGTCTGCACCGTTGCCTCAGAGTACACTGGCTCAGCTAGTCATTCAGCAGCAACACCAGCAGTTCTTGGAGAAGCAGAAGCAATACCAGCAGCAGATCCACATGAACAAAGTAAGTGTCCAACCCAAGCTAAATGTCATAACCACTTGTTTGGATGTTGAGAACCTCTTCATTGGTGTGGATATATAAGAGGAGAATGTTGGTATCAGCCATAGCGAAAAGGAGTTTACTATCCTTAGCCCTGCTCTGGGTTCAAGGACACCATCACAATGTCAGTGTTTTCACTGTTGTTAATTAAGGCCATTTGTAGGAAAATTGAGGTTATAGATTAGCAAGGTCATTTATGATGGAGTGCTTATTTTAATACAGCAACACATACAAGGCGTGTGTGTGGAGCCCTATTTTTTTTTTAGTATTGCAGAAAGAATTTGAGACAGAGTTGAATGTGGAGAGTTGACTTATCCAAAGGTTTGCACAGTGATGGCAGATGGACAAGGTTGGCTACTGAGGTACATCTCAGGAGCTTGTGTGCATCTGTTACATCTCTTTTACAGTATGCCCCTCTCCATTCCAAAAAAGTGCTTCAAGTAGTTGATTTTTCTTTTTTTCTCTCTGTCTGTAATTCTGCCAAAGGGCTTGTGCACCCACAGGGAAGAGGGAGAAAGAGCAAGAGTGAGCGAGTGCAGCCCCAGGGTGATGCCATACCACAATCTCTTCTCCTCTATTCTCCTTTCAGAATTTTAAATGTTTTTCAAGCCACTGGATCTAGGGCTCAAACCACACATTGGCCATGTGAGATCCAGCTGCCTAAACCACTATGCCACCGCTTGCCCATCTTTGGAACAGTTTCTCAAATCTTGTGATACATTCTTTCTGGCAGCCTTATGGGTCTGCGGTGGACAGCAGACAGCAGTATCATACCACATTCTTAGGAGCTCTTCTGCTGAAGCAATGACAAAGAACAGTGATTACCGTTTAATGTTGTCAGACAGGCTGGTAAAACATTTTCTGTGAATTTGAAAGCAAAATGTTATTAAGGAAGCTGGTCCGAACAATCTTACCACTACCTTATGCTGTGCTAGGCTCACAAAAGCAGAATCTTCTTGTGCCTAGAAAATTCCTGGAAGATATTCAGATCCTGAGTACTAAGATTTTAGTCTCTTTCCTGTGTACTCTGAAGCCATAGGCATGTTATAGAGGCATGAGAGCAATATCAAACAATGATAAGTGGATAGCTAAAAAGCTGAAATGTAATTTCATAATTAAATACCTTACTGCATTGTGATGCTTAAAAAACAAACAAGACAGAATAAACTGTCATGGGCAAAAGTCAAATCATCTTTCTAGTGACAAGAAAAGAGGAGGGTCTTCATCATGGATTGGTCTTATTGCAAGTATTGCTGGAGTTGTTTCCTCTCTTTGACCTCCCGCTTACAAGAGTCCATGGGCTAAGCACCACACCCTGAATGGCAGTTCTTTCATTGCGGTCCTTGGCTACTTTCAAAGATGCCGTGAGTCTGTTTGTGATTGGGTTGTTACAAGTAGGCCTGACCGGCAGTGGCAACGGTCTCTTTAACTTCCTTCACTGTACATCACAAACTCATCCTGCATAATCAGATTAATGTTGATTTTATTGCCATAGTATTTTGCTAAACTTATCAGGTTATTTTGTATCAAATCAATCTTTTGAGAGAACCAATTTCCTTCTGTGCCTAATGGCATAATACATAATATTGGTTGACTTGAATGTGGCTCTGTATATGTTTGTTCAATTGTGGTAGAGTTAATTAGTTTGCTTTGTGGTCTCTCGGCACAATGTGAAATGACTAACTTTTCTTGAAAAATCATTCAGTATGAGAAATGTATACAGGAGGAAATATTAGGGATCCTACATTTTTACTCATACAATTTTGACCTGGAATTAGGTTTGTGTTAAAATGAGTATTAGGTTAATAGATACACTTTCCTGATAGTTTTAGTTCTAGATACTAGCAATGTGTGGATGTGCATATTCTGTGGGTAAATCAGGTAAATCAGTTGCTTTGAAATCATGGTTTACAAACTTATTTTGTATTGATACTTTTAAGAATATTTCAAAATACAGTTTTTTTTTTTTTTTATGGCCTAGACTTGCCACCATTTGATAATAGGCTAATTAATATCTGAATTTTTCTCATTCAGTGTCACACTCAAGATTTTGACAGGCATATGCTAAACCCTAGTCACGTGGAAAAAAAATCTAAGATGAAAAGCAGGCATTTGCATTTTAGCAACAAGAAATCAAATTTTATCAGAGACCTTTCCCATGTGGAGCTGATTCCTCGGAATCTGTTAAGAATTCTTCCTAAAATTAGAAACAAACCTACACTTTTAGGTACATGTTTGTACAGTGGTTTGATTATTAAATCTTGTCTTAATTAGGCAAAATGAAGACCAGAAAACTTCAAAGTACCTAGCTGATCTTTATATGTTAACCTCTCTCAGCTTGGGTGTTTAGATTTCTCAAGCAGGTCGCCAGTTGGCTTTTCTCCAAGTATGTATTCCATATGTTTAATCAAGTTGGAATATGCGCATTGGGTATTCTCCAGATCTTAAAAATATTTTACCTGCCTTCGATTGTGTAAGGCAACAGAGAAGAATCGTATTTAGGGAAATATTAAACCTGTGTCTTTTTCTGAGATATTCACGGTAGGATCACCATGAAGCAAATGGCTACTGTTTGGCCTTCTCTATGAGTGGACGATGGCATTTATTTCATACTGGATCAGGACCATAACTTAGATGCCGAAAGTTAGCAAGTTTCTGACTGATACTATATTTACATGTACACTAGTAATTTTGAATACCCCTTAGTAAGAAATAACCACTGAAACTTGAAGTCACCTTCCCCTGCCACCATGAATGAAACTTTATTAAGTCAATTCGTCCTTGAATCAAATATTTGACAAGATAAAAACATGATTTTTTTACTCTGAGATACTTAATTATAGCAGGAAATAGAGGTGTGCATTTAGACAGAGGTGTGCAAATGACATACTTAATTTTCTTTTTAATTCCCTCAACTTTATAATGGTTCCTTTCTTGAGAAATTTGGGGAAGCAAATAATGGAGTGGGAACAAAGAGAAAATGAGTAGATTTATATCTGAACGTACTGGAGATTAAATATAATGAGCCATTTTGGTATGAGAGTTGTAATATGTTCGATTTCTAATAATCTTTAGAAGAACTAGTAGCAACTTACACTTTTAGGAGCATAGTTGATACAATGATTGACTTAATTACATTTTGAATAATTTCACACAGTTTGCCTTTATTTATTCTATGAGAGAAAGAGAAAGAGAGATCTAGACCTACAAAATGATCTTCACACTGCAGTGTACTCCCAGCCTTAGCTAGCCAGGATCATGGGCATGTATGCACACCCGGTGTGCACAGAGAGACCTTAAGTGTGGACCAGGGACCTTCCTATGTGGGTTCTGCAATTCAGTGTCACATTACTACTGCACCACCAGCTGGTCTCTGTCTTAGTTCTATTTTAATGTATTTATCAAAACAGTCATTCATGCTTTGTGTAACTATGCAGTATAAGTGTTAGTAATAATACCAAATAATTTACCTACTGATTGCCTTAGTTTAAGGACATTAGTGTGGGATCTTTCAGCATTCTACTATTATTTATCTCTTATAATTGTGGTGTAAGTGCTCAAGGACTTAGCAAAAATGTACATGAAATGGGTTTATACAGTAATTTTATTGTTATATCTGCCAATAAATAATTTTAAAAGTTTGAGGAGAGTTCTGACCTGGAGAAGAAACCCTGTCAAAACGATTTATCTCTGTGACTGAAACTGATTGACTAACGGTTGTACAAACACAAGAGATGGATGTGAAAGTCAGATGAGGTGTGTGTGTGTGGAGGAGTGTGGCCTAAGGAAGGACATTTGGAGAAGGGATACGGAGGTAGAACATTGACGGGACGGGGAAGTGTGGTGTTATGGGTTGAAGATATTTTGATCAATGGGACTGGGGAGAAATGTTCACATATTGAAATGTTCACATTTTAAGCTAAACAATGCGATTGAATGTATATACAAAAAGAAATAAATTTAATTAAAAAAAAGAAAAAAGATAACACATACAAAAGCGCATTATAATAGATGTACAATTTTGGGAGCCAGTAGATGGCGTGGTGGTTAAGTGCTGGATTTTCCCACGTGATTGACCATGGTTTGCATCCCAGACCTGGTAGCTTGCTTTCTCACTTTCTTTTTCTTTGGTCAAATTAAAATAAATGAATGAATAAATAAATAAATATTTTAAAAAGAGATGTACAATTTTAAAGAATTATAATAAACATTCAAAACCCTGCCCAAAAAAGAGATTTATCTCTGATGAAAGAGGACTAACGTTTATTATTTCTTAACACAGGCTTCAAATTCACTCAAAGAAAAGCAGAAGTGTGAGACCCAGACACTCAGGCCAGGTGTCGCCCTGCCTGGACAGTATGGGGCCAACATCCCCACGTCTTCAAGCCATGCCCACGTTGCTTTGGAGGGAAAACCCAACAGCAGCCACCAAGCCCTCCTGCAGCATTTATTGTTGAAAGAACAAATGCGACAACAAAAGCTTCTTGTGGCTGGTAATTAATAACGGCACTGTTTGTAGGTCATTGTAGGGCTGTGAGTGACCCATTGAAATGTCTCTCTAACCCAAAACCTTAATGAAGATTTACAGTGCCACACGAGGGCCTCCTTGGCACTTGGTACTGTGAGAAAGACCAGTATCCTTACTTACTCTCCTAGATCCTTTGTAGGGGAGTGCAGGACTCATCTCATCTAACCTTCAGACACACCAGACAGACTAGTGCTTAGCTGTATGGAGTAGTATGGTCAGGTGCATACCTGTCCTGTGCTTTGGCAGTTCTGCCTTTAGGCACCCAGCCCAGCCTTCCTCTGACATTCACCTGCTAGTATCACTGTTTTCATGTAACTTATCCCATGCATCTATTTGGGCTTCTTGTCATTTCTTAAAATGATAATGTATTTCTGTCTGCCTGTCTGTTTACACACACACATTTGTATATATATTTTTATAGGTGGAGTTCCCCTAC